AACCCCCAGGTCCATGGATCGAAACCATGCGGTGCTATATGTTCCTTGGCCTTTCTCCCTGTATCCGTCCACTTCTGGGAGTTCCTGCTAGACATCCAAAAACAGCATTTCGCACAACATTAGGTAATCTCCCCAACACCGGCGGTGTCTACTATTTGCGCTAAATCTGTCTTTGCGCTCGCAAGGACCCGGCCCGGTACAGCACAATCAGAGTAGTTCCTTATAGGCCATGCGCCTCTTCGATGGCGCTCGGGAAGTTAGTGAAACAGCTTATTGATGAAAAATAGATGCTATTTGGCGTTGCCGATGATGGTAAAAAAGTGTTCACAGTTAAGCAACGAAGGCAGGGTGGAACTACGAAATGTGTTGAACTGTGACTCAGAAAGCATACTTTCTTCGCCTCATACACCTCGATGCCCATGAAAGGACAAAGTGCGCACAGGCGGTGCGCAGATGCGCTTGTTTCGTTTGTAGAAAATTGAGACGTCCATATTCCCTCTGAGATGGACTTGATTCATCCACAGACATAGTACACATGTGCATTGTGGCGAATCACACGGATATATGCGCACATTAGGGAAAGTACGCCGATGCAAGCACGGAACCAATGCCACAAAAAAATACTCGCGATGCATGCGGGTACGCACAGTGATCTCGAGATGTACATCTCAGAGTTCAGCAACCCACACACGCATGCAGGCGTGCACACGATGTGGTAAATAACAGGAAGGCCCTGACGGTTGCTTGGAGTAGCTTGGAACTTCCTCTGTTGCTTGGCAGAGCGCCCATACTACATACATCTTGCTCACGCAGACTGACCCCCCAAAGAGGAATACGAAAATAACGAGAAAACAGTTTTGTTTTGTTACAATACGGAGCACCATATTCCGCCAATAAAATGTAATCAGTTGAAGCTGCATTGGTGAAGCAGGGCAGCGATAGCAAACAGCCAGTAAACGGGCCACGAAACGAGTGGGTATGTGTATTCATTCAAAATATTCTAAGCACTGTAGCGTCGAGCGGCACCACTAGAAGCTTTCCCGGTTGTCGCAGGCCAACCTGAGCGCAGGCGACAGCCTTGTGCATTGGATGCAAATGGAAGGCATATGCAATTAGCATGTTCCCCGTCAGCACTGTCAGGAAAATATATGGGCATGCAATCAGCGTGACCCCAGTCAGCCGCTGTCATAGCCACCTTCAAGCCAGAGTAACTCTCCAAGGGATTTGTTTTCGCCCCGCGAAACTCTAAAAATGTGGGGGCTGCCTATGGCGGTCGCGTCAGGTCGTGCGTCGTCTCTCCGCTCTGAACCAATTCGTGGGTGTCTGCAGACCTGGTCTCCGTCTCCGCGCGACCGGAGATTTCTGTCCACTCAACTATCGTCCGTCTCGTTAGGAGGTGGAATTGATGAGGAAGGAGCATAGAAGCTAAACCCTGAACGGTATCGGGCCATGCCTTGCATGTCCATAGGCGGCGCCTGCGTTCGCAAGGAGTCTAGCATCTCACTGGCAGCTTTGCTGATTGACTGCGGAGTTGTCAAGAACGAAGATAGCTGAGCATCAACGGAAGAGGAAACTTCCCAAAGCTGGCTATCCAAAGGTTGAGTGGGCTGATATAAGCTCAATCCTTCCATTGCGTCCGCCACATCTGCTGCCGTTGCGGAGGCTGAATCTGGAGCCGGAGGCCGAGGCGAAACCCGTAAGCGAGGGGGCCACGCGCTAGACCAGGGTGTTGATGGCGTTTGTTCGGTTACGCCAAACTGTGTTGTAGCTTCCCTTCTTCCCCATGGTGCCTCCAACGTTTCTGCAGCCGCTGGCACAGTTAGACTCGCGGCCGGAAAAGGAGATGCTGCAGGACCAGGAGGGGGCCGAGTACCGCCGCGTAGGAGAACGTCTGGAGACAGTGCTGGCACTGCAATATCCAGCTCATGCAATTGCTGACCGCGAGACGAGGCAGTAGTGGGTGCCTGGTGAGTGATTGCAGGCTCAGTTGTGCGTGCTTTTGCCGGACTGCCATGTGTTTCCTCTTTCAGAGTTTTGGACGGTCCCATCCCGGACGACCTGCTGCTCGCTTTAAGGCGCGGAGGTACCACGCTGCCTCTGCGAGCGCGTCTAGCACGCCTTGTTCGAGCTGGCGCGCCCTCTCCAGAGGCTCCATCCATGCCGAGCGAATCGCTTTGTTCTTCTGGGGATACTTCTGTTTGAAGAGAGGCCTCTAACAAATCGCCTTCAGTTTTATTCCAGGGCTTTCCCACCCAATTTTTACCCTTAATTAGATCCTCATATTGCTCTTCGAAACTTTGTTCGGGTCTCTCGTCTAAATCTTTGACTTTCAGCGGACCCACTAGCTTTCCCCGGGAGCGGGTCTCTTCAGCGATCCGCAGGTAGTGACTCAAATGCTTATTTTTAAAGACCTGATCACGTCGGGTGTAGACGACTCGTGTCACTTCATCGACGAAATGAAGGGTGACCTCCTCGGTAACTTGGGTTCCTGAGTGTTCAGACTGCAAAAGCGACGCAACGGCAGCCTCTATAAGCTCTAGTGCCAGTTCCTGAAGCTCAAGAAGCTCCTTCAGCATCTGTGTACGCACTTCAGCTGCGAGTGGAGGGTTCTCCACGTCAGTTCCCCAGAACTCTTGAGCGTACCGCTCCATTCGAGATGCATGCTGCAGTTGCGACTTTCTGGCTTGTTGAAAGCAAGCGAACCTTACTTCCTTGGATGCTTGAACAGCTGTCTGAAGGGCCTCCACCTTTTGCTCCTCAAACTCTACACCCAACAATGCCGAAAGAGCAGCGACTTCTTGAATGCAAAACCCCAGGAAAAGGAAGACTACCTTCATACTAAATGACTGCGGGACCAAAACGGCAGCCGAACGGCAATCTTTTGTCACCTGTATCAGCCTTTGCACCACACCTTCAGCCCGCTCTAGCAAAGCAAGTTCAATGGCACCACTGGCACCGGCGGCTAACAGGCTGCCGTGCACTTCACTTGCCCCGCAGAGCGTTGCGCGCCCCGCACCTTCCCCTTCAGCAAGAGACCTCAGAGGCCCGTTTCCAGGGTTGTTCACAGCAGTGATCTGACGATGGCAACGGAGTATCACAAACGCCACAGCAACGGCAGACACGAGGAGCAGAGTCGTCAGCTGGAAGCTTCGGCCTAGCGGCCAGGATCGACCCTTGACTACGGCGTGACGGGTAGACGCAGGCGCATGAGAGGCCCATTCTTTCAGGGCTTCCTTTCCACTGTCCCATGGCGAAGGAGAAATGCGCATCCTACCGACGGTTGCAGCTCCACCAGGACTTGAGAAGGATATCTCCGTCTGCCCGTTCATAACAGTTAAGCACTGAGTCCTTCCCTCCGTTGGTGTATACCTTTAACGAGAACCGAAGGAAAACTGTCACGAATTGAGGTACTACATCTCAGGAAGCACGAAAACCGATGCTGCGCAACCCCTAAGTGTTTCTAGGGAATCCTCCCGCGCATTCATCCCCCAGGATGCGACAACAATTTAGACAACAGATCGCCGAAGAGACATATGGTATCACTTGACGTGTAGTAGGAGTGTTGGGGAAGGCACGAGCCAGCTCCTCCCACGAAAGAATACACCGTATGGATTGCGTTGGTGACCGCCGTATACAGGCGGAGCTGAGCATTGCGTCAGTGCAGAGATACGTTCGCACGGCCATAATTGTCAAACAAAAGCCCATATATTGTTGACACAAATATATAACAAAAGAATAACGTAGTTCCTGCAAAGGAGTGAAGGCTGTCGACTTCTTGTGGAACAAGCATTCACGGAATCGAGTCACCGCCATGAATCGTTTTGCGGTGTGGAGGGGCTCGCGTTTCCGCTGCACAGGTATGTGCCCCTCTGATCTATTTCAAGAAACTAAAACACTCTGAAACATGTGCTTCGAATTTTTGCCTCTTTTCTGAGTTGCTGCGCCAGTCCTTCAGAAAAGGGCAGGCTGCCACTGTAACATGGCATAGAACATGGTACACCCAGTCCGTACAGGTCCACCTAGTCCGCAGAGGCCTGTCTACTGGCGTGCAGGCAATTAGTTACCGAGGGCCAATTCCACGCTTGACACTTGTCTGAAGTGTTGTTGAACCATCAAAAGGTGGCTTGGATATGTTATCATCCAGAGGGAGCTTTCTGTTACGAAGCACAGGCGCTTGTGCCGCTGTTGTGCCAAGAGCCCCTATATACTAAAGGCACGGGCAGACCGTTTTTTCGAGGGTTTGTCGCAGCTAGTTTTACTCGTGTACAGCCGGACACGATCTTCCAGCACGGTTGATGACTGTCTTTACACGGCGTGTTACCAGTTGCAGTTTGCAACTCCAACGGGTGTTGCAAGGCCGCCCCACATCCAAGCATACCGGAGCCCCGCCTTCTATGCGAACACAAACAGCTATGACAACTTCTAAACGCTTACTTGACTTGTTGTATCCAGCAGACACACAAGTGGAAATACGTTCACCGACTCCAAGCAACCCATGCTACAGAAAC